GCCGTTTTGGTTTGGTTTTTTCTCTCCTCTGCCCGCCAGGAGTTTCCCTCAAACCCCCGGAATTCAGTGGAGTTAACTGGAAACTCAAAGGGCTTTGCTGGACCTCGGCCATGCCCTGTGGGGAGCTCCCAAGGCATTTCACAGAGAGGATCCCGAGATCCTCCAACTATGCCGAAGTTCCTGCGGTGACCACAAGTCTTCCGTTTAATTTTCAAGCATTAGCAAAGACTAGGCCTAAGAGACAGGAGCATTTCTTTAAGCTGGGAACGCTCCTTTCAGCCGTGGCAGAAAGCATCTGAGCTGCCGGCAGGGGCAGGGAGGGGTCCAGGGCAGCCCCAGGCCACCAAGGGGGACAGAGGGACAAGGTTGAAAGGAGCAGCCCCTGGGCGAGCTGCCTGCCCGGGGCCAGCAGCACCCACCCGACGGGGCTGAGGCCATGATGGTGTTTGCATGCAGAGGGTGCAACAGCACTGCTGGTCTGATCCACCACTGCTGGTGGCCAGAGGACACCTCCAAGCTCCATTTTAAACCCAGGCTGGGAAGAAGGTTCCCTTTACAGGATTTGCTAATCTAAGGTTTTTTACAGGCAGTTTGGCACCTGATCTCGGTGGAAGCCTTGTGAGGCCTCCTCAAATGGCCAGGGGCTGTGTCATCACTTCACCATAGGGAAGAGTTCCTGTGAGAGAACACATGCTCCAAGGTTTGCTTCTCCATTTCAGCACACCACATGCTACGAGGTCCACAGGAAAGAAAATAACCAAATGAAGAACATAGTCAGTAGCCTCCACAGTCAAACACCTTTTAATATAATCCAAGAATCTGCACAGTAACAAAAATACCATCAATGTAGGGCAGCAAGTCTAACAATAGGGTAGAAAACCAACTCAGCAGCACACCACCACTCATCGGAGGAAAAACATCACCCCAAATAATACACACACTCATCTCAAGCACAAATAGTCTGATATTCATGACAGAGAGCTGGGAGAAAGGCTTCTCAAAGTTAACAGCCAGGTGCCCGAGCCTCCGATCTGCCCAACAGCCAGAGTCCAGGTGCCCAGTGCAGGAGCTGAGCTCTTCCAGCAGCACGGCTGCAGGGGAGCCCCTGGTCCCCACTGGCCGTGACATCCACGGGGCTGTGGCAGCTGTGGGGTCAGTGGGGAGAGCAGCTCACACACCAGCAAAGACGTGGATGGATTGGCAAGGATGAATCACACAGTTCCAAGGCAGACAGGAATGGCAGCTGATCGCCCTGCAGGTGCCACCCCTCCTGGCTGAGCACAGAGCTCTGCTGGCATGAAGTGCAGCTCTTCAGAGAACGGCACTGCCCAGCCCTCCAGTAACACTGAGGAAATGGGAGTTCTTCCCTTCCCTTTGTTAATTTGCCTCTATTAATAGGAGGTCCATTAAGGTGCTTCATCAGAGAAGGGAGAGTATCAAAGTGCATGACCTGCAGGAATGACAGTTTGGGAGCAGGGAAGTCTGTCCAGCCCGGCTGACAGCTGCACATAATTCCTGTGCCCTGAAAATAGCCTAGATGCCATCTGCAATAAACTCCCATTTCTGATGTCAAGAGTTTCTAGTCTTTTCTGCCTTCAAGAAATGATTCCAAAGCAAAAACGGCTTCTCAGGAAAGCCAACGTGCCCCTGAGGAGCCGTGGCAGCTGATGCCCAGTCTCCAGCTGTCCAGCTCCACAGAGCAGCTCCAGGTGACACTGGCACTCTCACTGTCACTGCTGCCAGCAGCACTACAAACAAGGACTACAAACTGCACCGACAGTTGTTCAGTTACAGCGTGACCAGAGCACTTCACAGCTGGGGTACCTCAGATAACTTCGACTTTGTGGTAAGGCACCCATCATAGTCATTGTCTTAAAAGCCAGCCTGTGGTCTCCACCTCAAGAGCTCTACATGCAACACAGACTGCTGGCTTAATGACCAGAAATTTGACATACACTTGGTCAGCAACGACCATTAACTACACAGGCAAAAGAACAAAAGCCTCTCTGCTACTGGGAAGAAACCCCAGTCACGATGCTCCTCCTCTAAGGTGTCTCTCACAACCACCCCAAGAGTTACAAACGAGGACTTGCACATGGAAAGGAACATTCATTTTTATTGTGTGAGGATGACACAGCACTGCACACCTCGCTAGGAACTGTGGCCTGGTGCTCACTCCCATTTCCACCACACACACTGGTGCTGCACACGGCTGCAGCAGGGGAGGGCTGTATCAAACCACAACCTTCTCTTCGGTGTGTGCCTCAAGACTGATATGAGCAGTCAGGATCACCTGTCAACCCCTTTACCTCCTGCTGTGATCTGCAGCCTCCTGTAGGGCATTGCTCAAACTGCTCTGGGCTGTGACTGCAGAGCAGGGCTCAGACACTGCCACCCAGAGCGAGGTCTTATTTAACATCTACCTTCAGCCCCAAGTGCAAGACTGGCCATTGAGATGAGTTACCAGGAAGGGGTCTGTCTTCTGTATGTGCTCATCTGGCACAAGGGGTGCTGAGCTGAGCCCTGCAGCTGGCTTTTGAAAGACACCAGAGATCCTGATGCCTAAACCTCACTGATTTCAGTGCTGCTCCCTGGATTCTCACACTGATGTCCCATGATGAATTTCTGAGCAACTGTGCGTTATTTCTGATTTCAAACGCCCAGATCCCTGGGCAGCAAGAGCAGAGCAGGGAGCAGGGGGTCTTAGATATGGCTCAAGACACGGTACAGCACTCGGGCTTTGCGGATGCAGCTGCATCCGTCAGGATGGGCTGAGAAATCCCATCACTGCTGCCAGCTGCAGGAAAGATTCTGCAGAAAAGAACTGTTCATTTTCAGTGTAATACTCAAGTCCTGCAGATCCTGCCAACACACAGCTCGAGGGAATTTGACATGTTAACAAGCTGAAAATTAATGCTGTTGTGTTTTGTTTTGTTTTTTTTCAAGGGCACCTCAAACAAACTTGAAAGAGAGATGAGATGGGGACAAAACTGAAATCCCACCTACCCTTAAGAGAAACTACTAAATGGGATCCACTTTTGGTGTTCTTTTGTTTTGTCTGAGGAAGCTTGTGCAATACTAGGAAGTGCAAAGTGATGAAGTTAGCTTTGAAAAAATTATAGAAGGCAGCATCAGCCAGTACTTGTAAAAAGCCAGATATGATTGTTCAGGTTCCTCCCCATCCAAACACAAACAGAACTGAATTATATCTCCCCTTCTAGGGCAATCCAGTTTACAGTAATGCTGTGACAAGACTGCTGGACAGAACTCACCAAGTGGGAAGTGGGAAAGAAGAGAGGCCCAGTGCTGCCTCTCAAACAGCGTGAAGGAATCCAACTCCAAATATAACTGGTGCAAAAGACATCTTGAAGTCTTGTACAAGAAAACTAATATTTCAAAGAGTTATTCTGACAAAAAATTCAGAATGGCACCTGAAGAAGTAAATCCCATTTTTGCCAAGTTTGTACATCTGCTCTGCAAGAGGGAACCCTTCACCAAGACACAGGGTATCTTCACTGATGGCGAGCTAAAGAAGCCAACGTTCCCACCAAAGTCACCTGTGCCCTCTAAATATTAACCTGACCCTCTCCATCCTCTCCTAGCTGCAATTTTGTCACTATACATTTTTAATTTTTCCTTTTAATTAACTTCAAGTGGTAAAAACATTTCCCTAAAGCAATTTTTTAGCTTGAACTGCTGAAAAGACCAGCAATTCCTCTTTCCTCTCATTTTACTTGTTGTGGTAAATCTTCTAACTACCCAGTGAAGCTTTGAGAGGATCCTGTCATATGCTCTAGACTATGTTTATGTACTTGTGCTTCACGTGGGAGAAGTTCCACAGCAGATGCTGCAAGTTTTAGATAAAGACACCAGACAAGTGGCTCCAAACATCACACGCAGAGAACTGTTTGAATCCTCAGGAGCGAACGAAAGCCGCTGCGCAACACCCGAACCCCACCAGAGCACTGCTGGCCAAAATCCATTGCCTTTGTCAGGATCTCACCACTGAGAACACTCATGACGTGGAGAAACAGTGTTCCCTAGAGCTCTCCTGCAAAACTTGCCCACTCTGGGAAATATTACACAGAAGAATTCCCTCCCGTCTCCCTTCATTTACTTATGGGGAGACTGTAAAGCTTTTGTATTGCGTGGAGTGACACCAGCACAGTTCTCAGGCTGAAAGCTCCATTTCAGCTTCCAGGAAAGATGAAGAAAAGGAGGTTTCTGAGCACTGCAAATACACTGTGGCTTTCAGCTGCCTGAAACAGGAGTCAGTCTGAAGTCATACTGATATGGAATAGGAATGTAAACAAAATCAAGCCTTTGAGACATCCTTTTCCAGTCTGGATGCCTCTCTCAGAGGCAGACTGCTCAAGCAGATGCAACTGGAATGTGTCAAGAGTTCAGGTACAAGGAGCAGGGTAAGCAGCAATCACAGGTCCCGTGTGAATCAAGGGCTTTCAGGACTGAGCAGCTGGTATTGTTTTGTCTGCACGTCTGCTTACAGTAGGGCAATGACTTTATGAACTACTGTTCTGTGTCAGACCTGAGGCCCTCGGTGTTCCCTCTGAGCAGACATCTCATATTACTGGCTCACGCCAGATACTGGTGCCAGTGCCACCCACTTCTACAGCACACCTCCAACAGCACTCTGCCTCTGAGGAACTGCATCAAACTTCAAACCAAGCCTGTGATATTGACTTGTGTCCATTGAGGATGGTTTGAAATCTTGATATTCTCATTTCTACCTAATAACAGGACCTGAGCACAGATCTCTGGAGGTAAAAAGCGGAGGAGCTAATCTGATACGTTACTTCACCTTGACTTGTCTTAAATAAAATAAGAGTAAACAACTAAGCCCTGCATTCAAGTGCACCACTTAGTAATTACTAAAAACCCCACTGAGCCCAGCAGAAATTATGTTCTAACTTGGCTCCTGAATTAGAATTTGCCTTGGGACAAATCCTAGGACAACTGAAAAACTAGTTGATTAATGATAGTCACATCAACCGTTCATGGTGTCCCTGAAGCCCCACACCTCCAAGACAGAGATCTGGAAGCTTTCAGAGCACAAGGGTTGATTATTGAAAGTATTGCAGTGGCTGGTTCTCCCATGGTTCAGATCTGCATCGAGGTAAAGAGCCTGGCCATCACCACCTCCTGTGAAGAGACAAAGACAAGTGTAAGGGTGCCTCTGCATTTCTTAGCGTGGGAAACTGCTATTAAGTGCTTTTTTTTCCCCAGGGACAACAGGAAGCTCTCAGTGACATTCACTGTCTGTCTTCATGTGTGACTATGACTAAATGCATAGCTTCTAAATGGCACTATCAGAACTGGATGATTTACTTTTTTTAAGTTTACAAAAAAGAGTAATGCAAGTCAGTAAAGAACAAGGAGCCTGACTCAAATTCTGCATTTAAGAATTTTTATTCCGGTGTTGGAGGATCTTGGAAGCTACCAACTGCATATTTTCCCTCCAGTAAAGAAAAACCATAGAATTCTGTTAGCAGTCAAAAGACAAAGCTGAGTGAACAAGATCAGTAAGTAAGAGCATTGGCTCGGTCTTCTAAAGCATAAACCACACCAGAGTCGAAAGCATTCTGATTATCTGTGGGTCTATGTCAAGATTCACAGAGCTTACAGTCAGAGAATGCAGTGAAGTGAAATACATTTAAACAGAAATGTGTTAGGGAAACAAAACCAAAGATTTCCCTACTGCTTATAAGGTGACTGTCTAAGAATAGCTACTCAAAACACCTGAAGAATCAGAAGGGTGGAAATTCTGGTCTACAGCTGGAACTGTATGCAACATCCATTTCTATGTATCTGCTACCCAAGCTCGTAGTTCTCTTATCACTACTCACAGTGTTTATGTTGTTATGTTTACATACATGGCAAACAGACTCCCTTATGTAAAGCTGATAGAAGAGCTGGTGGGAAATTTGCTCAGCAGTAAAGAACTCTGAAATATCTGTGAGATATGGTCAGCAGGGATTTCTAATTCAGTCACACATGCACTGAAGCTCTCAGCAGCCTGATTGATAGTGGAACAGCCGAATTTACACTTGATTAGGGCACGTGCTGCTAGGTGGGAGATCAGCCAATGCTTGATGTTACAGAGGAAATCACCAGGTTAGTTGCTCTCCTAACAACCATCAAGTAAAGCTTTTTGGGAAAAGGACAGCTAGGATTTTATACCCATTTCCTGTAAAACCCCTTTAGGTGACAACTTTACTAAGCAGGCTTTTGCCAAAGTCAGCAGCACCACAGACCCAACAAAGTTCCAGGAGAATTAACATATTTTATACTTTACCCTGTTTCAAAAGTCCCAGTACAAAGTTCGTTCCTCTTCAAGAGCTACTTCTCACCACAAATTAGGCAGTAGAAAGGTCTGGCTGTGCTTAAAGCTACAACTACCTTACTCTGAAACACTTCTTGTTGGGTAATAGTAACAGGTTTTGGCCACTTTTATGTCCAGCTGCAGCAATGCTGCAGCACATATATGGTAAATACAGGTGACTGGCTTACCTGAGGTGGACAGGAAGAGCTGGTGGGAGGTGTGCTCAGGCTCCCACAGCACTTACCGACAATGATGCACTCGCTGCTGCCAGCCATGAACATGGAGGCAGTTTTGGAAGGCAGGTTGAAATGCCGAGCCGAGAGGAAGGGGGACAGGCGGTCCGAGGGCTCTGGGGGCGCGCTGGAGGAGAGGCTGCTGGGACCTCCTGAGCTATGGTTTTCTGGCTCTGAAGCAGTCGTGGCCAGTTCTGGGTGTTTGATGATCACCCACTCGTAGCGTTCCACTTCTGGCTGCAGCTGCAAAGGGGCAGAGAGGAGCCAAGCTGCAGCCCGTGCCCGTGCAGCACACGGGGAGCTCTGCACAGCCAGCAGCTCTCAAGCCCCTCAGCCGCCACCCGCGTCATCAGCGGCAAAACCTGGATCAAAGTGTCTTTGAGGCCAGATGTTAGTTTCTTTCTTTATACCTCTGCTTTTTAGGGGATTGAAGAAACGATGCAGAGTTTTCTGAGTTACCTTATTACATCTTTTAAGAAAATACTCAGTGCAAGGGGAGGAAAAGGCTTCCCACAAAAATGAAGAGTAAAATTTTCTCCTCCACATTGAGGGCTCGGTAGATTTTATACACTAGGAGGGCATATAATCCAGTGTCTCCAAGTGGAAGGGAGTTACTCACACCAGTACAGCGGTTCTGTCTTCCTGCTGGGTAGCAATGGTTACAAATTTTACTCACCCTGAACACAAAGCACTCCCCAGTTCCAAAGAAGCTGAGCTTGTTCCCTCCTCGCCTGCGCTCGCTCCAGTCTGTTGACAGGAAGGCCCCACAGACCTGGCACAGACAGCACAGCACCGTCAGGGAGCTTTCCGTGGAGGGGAAAGTGTGTTAAGCCCACTGACACCAGTGCCTCAGTCCAGAACTGAAGGTTTTATTTCAGTTTGGTTTCCAAAATCTCTGTATCCATGGATTAATGCAGCATAAGTACTTATATCTAAAGATAGGTTTAAAGGCTTTAATCCACTGGTGGGCACCCTCAGATCCTAAGAGTCTCAGAAATCATTTCACATCCTGGCCTTAAAGGAGAAATGTTCCAACACAACCCCAGGCACCAGTACCAAACCATAAATCACTCCAACCTTGCAAAGCTTGACTTCCACTCCCTCATTTTGGCATCCAAAGGAACAGGACTGTCCCAAGTTACACTGTGAGCAGTTCTGCCTGAATTTTTTCTGGTCATAAACAGTGGCCTTGGTGGCTTTCTGCATTTCAAACTGTATCTTAAAATCAGCTTAGCTGAGCCAATGCTGAACTAGCTCAGATATTGAAAGCAGCCTATTCAAACAGCATGGGGTTCATAGTTTCCAATAAAGAGAGCCATACCCTCATAGGGCTGAGCTTTTCTGTGGAGTCTTTTGTTTGAACTGGAAGAATTCCTTGCTACCAGCAACAGCATCACTGCCAAGTGGACATGGACCAAACAATGAAGCAGCAAGAATGGGATGAAAGCAACCCTGTGCTTTTTTGTTCCAGAAACTGGTTAAACAGAATTGTTCTAAGGTACATTTGCTGTTTAGCCTCTACCAGCATTACACGCAGAGCTCTTAGGAAAAAAATTACTGAAAAGGAGCTGTTTTTATATAGATAAATCATACACATAAACAAAAAGATGGGCCAGAACTCTGTTTTATCTGATATGCCTGAAGTACACAACAGCCAGAAAATCAGACAGCAAATTTTCTTCCTTCCTTCTAAAAATGTAACTAAAGACATCTGCGAAAAAAAACCCAAACCCACAACCACCAAACAAAACCCACCATATTTTTCTGCCTCTCTTTTGTTTGGACTTTTTTTTTATGTCATGCAGAGTGGCACAGCCAACCTGAAGCACTCGTGTGCCCTCCTTTGGAGCTTCTGAGCAGTATTTGTTTTAAAGGAGCATGAGATGAAGCTCATGTTTCTGTTTTCATGTTGCTGTCCAGCATTGTCACAGAGCAGATCAGAGAACCAACACTCCTGAGATAAGGCACCTGTGTGAACTCCTCCAGTTCTCAGAGCTTTCTTGTTTGGGCTTGGGAAACAACAATGAGATGAAGCTAAAGCTTTTGTTTCCACATTATGTAGCCCAATATTATTCATACCATTTAAATTCTGATACTTTCTCGCCTCATATCCTGGTGAAAATGAAAATATCTTCTGTGAATCACGAGCTTCTTAACTCAATTCCCCAGCCTCTCCTGATTTGGCAACTATGAGTCTGTCCAAGAGCTCAGTGAATTCCTCTGGTCCATCATCTCACATTACTTAGAAGAGGAAGAACAGCTGACCAAGACTGAGTTTACAAGAGTTACCCAAGAATGCACAGTCCCACAGTCAACAAAGGGAGCCATCTAAAGCACGCATTGTTAGCATAACAAAACAAACCCGAGCAATTTCAGGTCCCTGGCTTCTTCCTTTTATCACAAACAGCTGTGTGTTGCAACAGGGCATTACATAGCTGCCTAAACCCCAATTTAATTGGTTGCCTTTCACCTCACTCACCTCTTTTGCCGTGGTCTTGATGAGGAGAAGAGTTGGTTCGTGTCCCTCGCTGTGAGAGTAGAACCTGGAGTGCAGAGCACACAAAAATGAGCACGCAGCTACCACCAACTGCAGCTCTTCCTCCCCAGCACCAGCACCACCTCCTCCTCCAACTGATGGCATAGCTAAAAAAGACATCTGAAGACTGAGGATATTCCTGCAAATGCTTTCTACAGTCCATGGTAAATAACAGAGCTGAGTGTAAACAGACACTGTAACTTCTCTGTACTGTCTGTTGTGCCTCTGCAGAGTAACTAGAAGATGACCTCTCACAACCATGCCATTGAACTGAGACAACCTAAGGGAAGCTGTGTCCTGAGGACTGATGGATGTGTCTGAAGAGCTTTTGTTTTCACAGAAAATAATGATGATGCATTCTCTTTCCTTGCTTTTGCTTTTCCTCATAGGTACGTGGGGCTGGGACAGCAGACCACCCTCCACCTCAGTCCCTCAACTGCAGATGTCAAAACCATTACTGGGAGCTACAGGATTCCAGTCTTTGCTGTCAAGTGCAAGGAGAACCCATGCCTAGTTTATCCCACTTTAAAAATAACGATAATCAGATTCACAGGTAGAGGAATCTCCAGTTTCCATGTTTGAATGTGGTTATCTATCCAAAGAGCCTGCAGAGTAGCCACCGAGTTAAACCACTTGTACCCAGTGGGGAATGAACCAGTCTCAGACCAGCATATGCTGTGAGCTGATGCAAGCTGGACTTCTCTGTTGTTCATGGACATTTCAAAATGACTGCTCATGATCTGGCAAATGAAGTGTCCTGCTCCAAGGCTGCAGCCAGTATGAATTTGTCACATTTACACAGCATCACTAATAATACTTTTCAGATTAAGCTTTGACTTGGCAAGGCCCTTTTGTCAAGCCAGTACACAGTTTAACAGTTGCTCTTTTTTGGCCTCCAGCAGGGAAGAGTGGGGAAGTTTCTCCTTACCTGCTCAGACTACAGCCGTGTTCCAAGGTGGTGAAAAGCAAGAGGGGCTGGCAAAGTGCAAATCGCTCTGGGATCCACGACCAGATATCTCGCATCTCCTTCACACTGACAATTTCAGACTTGAAGTTCTCAGCATGAACTGCTAAGTGCACATTCTGCCTGAGAAATACAATACAAAACACTGAGAAACAGTAATTTAACACCAAAACAAGTTCTGGGCTACTGGACAGTACCACGCAAGGACAGCTGATCACTAAAAGACCCCGGCAGATACGCTCCTGTTCCAAGCTCCAGCCCACGGGATTAGGAGGCCATGACTTAGTGCAGATAATCAACTTCTGCACTTACCCTAATCCTCAAGAGGCAGTGATCTGGCCCTGCTGAAATAGCTGGAGCAATTCCTCTACATGGCAGCTGTGGCTTGCACCTTTATATACAGGGGACATAATGGTGAGCCAGCCAGGATGGCCATGACCTTAGACAGATCAAATTATATTTGGCATGAGAGTCTCACTGGTGCTGGTGTTCAAGAATATGGAACAGAACACCTAAAGAAACAGCCAGGATCTGGAAGGAAGAGGTAGTACTTTTCCCTCTCTCAGGTCCTGCCTTTATTATGGAATTAAGAGAATTCCTAAAACCTTCAGAAACCTTAGAGGAATCAGTATTGCCAGGCTAAGCAATTTTAATCCTAGGCAAATATTTGAAGCTCTTGGAATGTTCCACCTCTTGGAAACATGTCATTACCAATGACTTCATTAGAACCAGAGAAGTTCCTAGGCCTGTGATTACAGACAGAGCCTGGAAACATGAAGGAACACTGGGCACACCAGAAAGCAAAGCCCCACACCCCCCAGAGGGCCTGATACAATTATACAAACTGATTCATGGCCTTTGAACATCTGAAGGTATTAATAATACTAATCATCATCCTCTTAACCAGTCATCATTTCTCAGGGTAAATAAGCAGACAAACTCAGGGCCTGGTCATTAACCAAGGGTTACTGCATCTGGGGCTGATGTTAAAGACTTTTCAAATGCAAAAGCCAAGTCCCTGGTGGAAGTGACACAGGACCTCACACCAGACACTGAAGTGCTGAGCAGCCGTTAGTTGGATGAAGCTTTAGGCAGTTTGCTCTGCATGCAGGGGCTCAGCTGCATGCATCTGCTCCTTTCTGGGGGCTTTTATTTTTGACAATGACAATACTTCAATACTTATATCTGCAGGCATCTGAAGAGCTCAGCTCACTTCCTAAACCACACAAACTATGTGTATTTTACTATTTTTCTTGCTTGTAGTAGCAAGAGATGAGCAGCATTTGCACTGCACTTCAGAGCAGAGCTTGCTTGGAGACACTGGGAAATGCTTTCTGGAATTCAGCTGCCTCCTGTCAGCATTCTAGTGAAGTGACTCCTTAGGTCAGTTCAGAAAAACCCTAAACTCTGCTCCCTCTGGCAAAATGAATCAAATCACTACTTTGCATGATTTAATTA